TGTTGATCTCGGAAGCTACAGAAAGAACCAATTGCAGAAGAGCAGTGCACTAAAAAGAACAACATACTTCGAAAACACCATATATTTGAAAAAGAAAAGCCAGAGCCCTGAATCACCTGAACCTTCTTAATCTACCTTGAGATGGGAGCGAACGTCTCTGTAGATCCAACGTAGAAATTATTTCACACTGAAGGAAATGTCCATAGTTGACGAGCTCCACCAAAGTCAATGATATATATATATATATATATATATATATATATATATATATATATATATATATATATATATATATATATGTGTGTGTGTGTGTGTCTGTTTATGTGTGTAAGAGAGAGAGAGAGTGAGTGAGAGAGAGAGAGTATATAGAAAAATAGGAATGAACCGTTAGGTTAATAAACAAAAAAAAGTTCTTTAACATTTTTTTTTATTTTTAAAAGACAGTGCTCAATACAACAGTAGAGTCTATATTATTTTTTTAAATCTGATTCCATCGTTACATAAGTGTTCACATGTTTCAAAAACACAACGATAAAAACTTTTATTTTAATTAAAGCAGCTAGTTCTGTTTCATCCTCAAGCGAATTTTGGAATAATTATTCTAATTATATATATATATATATATATATATATATATATATATATATATATATATATATATAGTCGACTCTCCTGTCAAATTCGACGTATGAGGATCAAGCAGATCAGTTCCTAGGAAACCGACAGCCCGACAACAGCACATGAGATTTGATTATAGTGGTGAAGGTTTCGTGCAGGACCATCCTCACTTTTTGAAGGGACGAATACAGAGACCTGGTGCACTAAGTGCCACAAGGTCCCGAAACGGCACTCCGCAGGTTTTGAATTCAGAGCTGTCCTTCTCCTAGACCAGTTGCCATCCAAGGCTATAGAACCCAATCTGTCCAAAGCTGGAGGGAGAAGAAGAGGATTCACACCTTTCCCAAGGGTATTAGCACGTAAGTGAATGTAATGGATTCGACTGGAATTCGAACTCGGCTCTCCGATTCATCAATCCAAGCCGACATCCATTACTCCACCGTGCCTCCTATATATATAGTTATTTTTAATTTATTTTGTTTAAACGTTTTTTTTATAGATGTTCATATTCGAGTATAAGCTCTGTTATTTAATTAAACATGATTTTTTTCCATCTAACAGTATGCGTCATGCCGGTGGACGAATCATTTTTACACAGGGATGCTGACCCAATGTGCTATATGCGTTCCTGTGACGTCATTTCTCCTACTTCCTCCTAGAATCCAAGCTGCAACCACTCTCTTTAAATAAAACGAATGAGAAAAATAAATGGTCCTTTTTGTCGATAACCATTTTATGTCGTAGAGTTAGGACCCAGAGATGACAGGGAATGCAACAGTATGTTTCAAATACCTATTCGAAAACAATTCTCTTACGTTAATATTTGGAAACCTACATTAAAATATATAAAAAATGTCTTGGGCATTGTTTGCGCTATTCGAATTTACGAGTTTAGAGAGCTGGCAAAATATAGCAAAACCTTTGTAGCTTTACTGAATGTTTTCTGATAGGGCCACAAAATTCACTTGACAATGGTCATCTGTGGGTCTGAGGTTTTTAAATTGTTGTGGATTCCGAGATGAAATCCGGTCTCAAATGAATGACAAACGCAAGAATGAAAAATAGCAAATAAATGTATTGACGTAATAATACAATTGGTAATACGGTTAGTAGATCCAGAAATGCGGTTAGTAGCAATAATAATATATATACAATCTGGGAAATTCAGTATCGAAGTAGGACTTCCTTCTGAGTCTACGTGCTCGCAACTGTGACTCCTACAAAGCGTTTACCTCACACTCTCACTCTATCACTGTATCATTGTCACCTGTCTTCCCCCGGGTATTCACCGGCAGCCGTACAAGTACACACTGGGCGAATCCACTTGTATGAAAAAGGGGTGGACCCCTTAACATAAATGTAATTTGATTGCCCAATTCAAACCATGAAACCTAATCTAGACATCCTAAAAAAAAGACAAATAAATATTGGTTGATAATTCTGGTATAATGAATATAAAAGCGAACGAAAAGCTAAATAAATATTTACGATTTACCACAGATCTGAAAATATTGTCAAGCAAATCCTGTCTATCGCTTATAAAATCCATTTCAACAATACTTCAATTACTTTCCTTACTCGTCCTAGGCATGACGATAAACTATATCCTGCAGCAAGACCTCTGACCTAGAGACTAAAGGATTTAGGTGCGTGGAACCACAGCTATCGTTGCCAATTCCAACCTGAATTGAGGAAGAAGCTGTTAGGGTCCCAGCTATGGGCAAATAGTAAACCCCCAAACAAAAACAAAACACTATGAATGTATAAAAGTATAGTTTTATAGGAAAATACCAGCAATATATTGTTATATTAAAAAAAAATTACCAACAATACATATTTATATTAAAATCACTAACAATCCATTTTTATAGCAAACTGACTAATACAATTTATCTGTAGTTGAAGACAGAATATTGTATTCAAAACATATTTAGTTGAAGTCATATAATTCCGTTCAAAATATATCCATCTGAAGCCATAAACTTTTGTCCAAACTATTTAGATTTTGGCATTAATTAACCCATCGAGACGGATATGCCGCTAAACAAAATCACCCAACCAACATGAAGAACACTGTGATGATATTAATTCATATAAACATATATATAAAGTACAGTGTATGTGTGTGTGTTTGTGTGACTTTGTGTCCAAACAACTCCTCCGTTCCTGCTGGTTTGATTTCAGTGATTCATAGCTCATTCAAAAGCCCCAGAAAAGTTATGCACAGGGAACGATTTTCGTTGAGCTCAGATTCAGTGTTGACAGATTATCCGAGGTTAAAAATATACATTAATATATTATACTACCTATTATCGTGGATTTCATCGTTCAAGTGGAGTAACTCTTATTTTCATTTTGTATTCAAAATTGCAGCGAGCTTAAAATCTACCCTGTCTGGCGGTATTTAAGCTAGCTCCTGTGGAGGACTCTTGGTTTGGCCATCATCACAATATCTAGGAAGGAATAGATGCGATAGGCATCAATAAACTACAGAAAAACTCAAAATTGATCGTTGCATTTAAGTATTGAATTAATGTGTAAGCTTACCTTTTAAAAGTTCAACGATAATTCTTCTGTCACCGCTTAATTTAAAGATGATTTGATATACGTAGATCCTTATTTTCCGTACAAAAATATTTTTATTTCATGGGTGACAGAAGAGGGGACAGTTTATAAGATAAAATTAAACAGATGGGGAAAAAAATTAGAATTAGTTATATATTCAACATTTGAAGAGTTAGAGAAACATAATAGCTAATTAATTAAAACCTATATTATGGAATCTATATAAATAAATGTGAAATTGGAGCTCAATTCTCCCACGAATTCTGAGATTAAAAAGCCTCAGCTTTACCTTATAGTAATTTACACTAAAAGCTCAATATCTGTATTATATATTATATACTTCATGTTTAACCAATTTGCATATTGATTTAAAAAACAAGTTTATTTCATTAATTAACTGTCCTTCATTACTGTTCTTTTATTCGAGGATTAATTTTCATATCAAAAATATTTTTGTTTAGGAATATTGTCTTTATAGTGCAGAAAAACTTTTGAAATTTCATTTTACTTGGCTTTCAACAAGTTGGCATCTATTTGTAAAACTTTCCTTAACTATAACAAGCTAATTTATGAATGAAATATTCAATTAAATTTTTTATTTCAAAGATTTCAAATAGTGAATCTATTTTACTTTGCGAAGCGATCGAAGCCTGCTAGTATCTTATAACAATCCTTCAGCAAATCTATAACATAAAACAGACATATCACCGTCTCTTGTAATTATGTCTATAGAGACATTAGTGTTATCTACCATGTATTGAATTGTGAAAACAGAATAACATAATGTATCTCTTTTCGTAATAAATGACCCATAAGGAGTTGATATACCATTAAACAAACAAATCTAATTAAATCGACTGTCCTTGCAAAAAAAAAAAAACAACTATCCAGACCTCTTCATGTAATAATTAATGAATAATCATACCAGTTTTGATTAATTTCAAGGTTTCATAATTTGACAGATAATTGAAGTTAGGACAAAGACCAGTTGGTAAATCCTGAGATTATCTACTTTCACTTTCACTTTGCAAACCCATTACAATGAATATGACTGAGCAAGTTAGGAATGTTCGGTAACATGATATAGTGGGTTCTCTAGCCTTGTCTGTGAGAAAGAATATTATGAATTCAAAACGGGGGAGAAAACTCCGCGAAACTATTCCAGTGATTTTCCCAAGAAGTCATGGCGATGCAAGTAACAGAGATTAGGTTCTGGCGATGAACTCCGGAAATATATCACGTGAAGAGAACTTGTGAGCAACAAGGATGTCACAAAAAGAAGAAGAAGAAGAAGAAGAAGAGAAAATATATGAAGCGATGATTGTCTATATTTCTAAGATGAAGTATGGTAATTATTTACTCTATTTACATTGTTCGTAGAGTTAAAGGGAGATAACTGATAACGAGACTTCCGGAAGAGGCATGATACGTGGAACTAGAACAATCTAACTCGGTGGATGAAATATAGGGTTCAGTTGGATATTCCAATCGGCTGAAGAAAGCCAGAGAGTACAACGGCTGAAACGACATGAATATCGTAACAACGATAAGGACAACAGTCTGAACAATATCAATGATGTAAATGAAATCGTTAACATATCTTGGACCTATACTGAGGCAAATGGGGCTCTGCAGAATTTAACAGTCACTGGATATATCAAAAGCAAGGGAGGTATCGGGAAACGGTGTATAAAGCACTTAACGAGTTTGTGTGAATCGATAGGAGAAGGGGGAGAAAAGGGGAGGATCAGTAAAATGTCAAAAGTATAACAAAAAAAAGAAACCTGAAGATATGCAGAGTCATGATTTTTGACCTGATGTCGGGAGATGGCAGTCGTCCCAATCATATACATCACAGTAAGTTAGGTTTAATGAATATCTCATGCTCTTGTATTGAAGCTTATGAATTAATCAAATTCTCAATAAAGGCTATCTAAGGTGAGTGAATAAGTTCTGTCGACTCATTGACATACCGAGATTAATTAATTTTTTCCTTCTTCATATCTCATTCTTTCATGAAGCAATAAAAGTGAAACATGCTAGATTTATAAAAAAAGTTCCTATTTGGTCTTTATCCTATCATTCTATCAGATTACAATCCATATTTGATCTGTATTTTATCTCAATTTATATCTATCTATCTATCACATTCCGCACACATCTATCTATCTATCTATCTATCTATCTATCTATCTATCTACATTCCGCACACATCTATCTATCTATCTATCTATCTATCTATCTATTACATTCTGCACACATCTATCTATCTATCACATTCCGCACACATCTATCTATCTATCTATCTATCACATTCCACACACATCTATCTATCAAATAGTGCACACATCTACCTATCTATCACATTCTGCACACATCTATCTATATATCAATCCAATTCAGCAAACATCTGTTTATCTATCACATTCCGCACACATGTATCTATATATCTATCAATGCAATTCAGCACGCATCTATCTATCTATCTATCTATCTATCCATCCATCCATCTATCTATCACATTCCACACATCCATCCATCTATCCATCCAACACATCCCGCACACATCCATCCATCTATCCATCTATCTATCCATCTATCACATCTGCACACATCCATCCATCCATCTATCATCCATCTATCATCACATTCCGCACACATCCATTCATCTATCTATCTATCTATCTATCACATTCCACACACATCTATCCATCCATCTATCTATCTATCCATCTATCTATCTATCTATCATTCCGCATACACATCTATCTATCTATACATCCATCTATCCATCACATTCCCACACATCCATCCATCCATCCATCCATCTATCCATCCATCCATCCATCCACATCCATCCATCCATCCATCTATCTATCCATCCATCTATCTATATCACATTCCGCACACATCTATCTATCTATCCATCTATCTATCTATCACATCCCACACATCTATCTATCTATCTATCCATCCATCATCATCCATCCACACATCCATCCATCTATCCTATCCTATCTATCTATCACATTCCACACATCCATCTATCTATCCATCTATCCATCCATCTATCTATCTATCCATCACATTCCTATCATCTATCCATCCATCCATCTATCCATCCATCCATCCTATCACATTCCGCACACATCATCCATCCATCTATCTATCTATCTATCATCACATCCTGCCACACATCCATCCATCCATCCATCCATCTATCCATCACATTCCACATCCATCCATCCATCCATCTATCCATCACATCCACACATCCATCTATCTATCTATCCATCTATCTATCACATTCCGCACACATCCATCCATCTATCTATCCATCCATCTATCCATCTATCACATTCCGCACACATCCATCCATCTATCTATCTATCTATCCATCCATCCATCACATCCCCACACATCCATCCATCTATCTATCCATCCATCTATCACATCTATCCATCCATCACATCTATCTATCTATCCATCCATCACATCCCGCACACATCTATCCATCCATCCATCCATCTATCACATTCACACATTTCATCCATCCATCCATCCATCCATCCTATCTATCACATCCCCACACATCCATCCATCTATCTATCCATCTATCTATCACATCCCCGCACACATCCATTCATCATCTATCTATCTATCACATCACATCCATCCATCTATCTATCTATCTATCATCACATTCACACACATCTATCTATCTATCTATCTATCCATCCATCATCACATCCCGCACACATCCATCCATCCATCCATCTATCATCACATTCCACACACATCCATCCTATCTATCTATCTATCACATTCCGCACACATCCATCTATCTATCCATCCATCCATCTATCATATCACACATCCATCCATCCATCCATCCATCCATCTATCTATCCATCACATTCCCACACATCCATCCATCCATCCATCCATCCTATCATATCCATCACATCTATCATCATCCATCCATCCATCCATCCATCCATCACATTCAACACATCTATCCATCCATCCATCCATCCATCCATCACATCTATCACATCCATCCATCCATCCATCCATCCATCCATATATCCATCCATCCATCCATCACATTCCCACACATCCATCCATCCATCCATCCATCCATCCATCCATCCAACACATTCCGCACACATCTATCCATCCATCTATCCATCACATTCCGCACACATCCATCCATCCATCCATCCATCCATCCATCACATTCCGCACACATCCATCCATCCATCTATCCATCCATCTATCTATCACCCATCCGCACACATCCATCCATCCATCCAT